TCTTCTTCTTCTTCTTCTTCTTCTTCTTCTTCTTCTTCTTCTTCTTCTTCTTCGTCTTTCTCCTCGTTCACCCTCTCGCATTCTCCTGTCTGTCTGCCCACCCGTTCAACTGCCTGTCCCTTTTATACAGTGTATCCCTTTTAACAGCAAACAGTCCCCATTCCGTTTTGAACTGACACACTCGTCCCGACAAACAGACACTTACACGTAGAATCTACATTGTGAAGGGAAATACATCCCTTTGCTAGCATATTCGTTATATCCACCCATAAAAAACACACACTTTCTGTCCCTATATTCCAGAAACACCACATCAAAACGCAGACACATCCCCAGATGTAATCTTCAGCTCCTATTTATTTTGTCATAAAGAGCAGCGAAACAGGTTTTTTTTTCCCCCCAGCGAGCAGTTCCCCGACGCGTTCATCTCATATCCAAGGTAAGCTTGGTCAATAGAAGAGCGAAATTGATTTATCGAGTTAGCCGCAATGAGTGTAATGGACTGCTCCATATATCGCAACATAGCATGATCGTGTTTTTCCCGCTGTTCATTTTTCAGTTTTGTTGGTGTGTGTGTGTGTGGTTGGGGGGTACCGTGTGTGTGTGTGTGTGTGTTTGTGTGTGTGTGTGTGTGTGTGTGTGTATATGTTGGGGGGGAGGGGTTGGATGAAAAAAAGGAGTAGGCGTCTTTTCATCATCGCAATTGATGTACAGTTACTCCATTGTATGCTGGTAAATATACTATGACGTAAACCAATATCATTAGCCCACTATACGTTTCGAACGAACTATAGCAAACAGATTTAGATCTTAACATTAAATGGGGTTAAGCATAGATTTATATCTTTTCTTTTTTCCTTTTTCACTTAGAAAACGAATCTCTGATGATATTAGTTTCGGTACTATGAGCATTGCCTAAGAAAGACCATGTGAGATTTTGTCGAGAACATACCCTTATTAATGTTAAAAAAATCTCAGTTGAACAATATTTTTCAGTAACTAAGATAATACGAAAAAGGTTTTTGTTTGTTTGTATATTGTTGGGTTGTTTTTTAAAGGAGAGCTTGCTTGCTTGCTGGTGTTGAGCTCACTTTTGTGACTTCCAAACATCATCATACGCTCGTAGATGTAAAGAACTGCAGCTGGTGTGAAGTTGGTTTGGGGG